ACAGTTTTTTAACCTTTTAGTCTTTTCGTGATCCCTTTTTTTTTTTTTTTTTTTTTTTTTTTAGTTGCTATAGAGCACTGAAAGCATTAAGCTTAAGCTTCTCTTTTTCTCAGAAGATACAAATATTTCTGGGGAAGAAAACTACTAAGCAAACATGATTGCTGAGTTCCGTTGGTCTTGAATAACTAACTGCTCTGGAGACAGCTGTGATACAGGCCTGAACAGACCTGCAGTGATATGCAAAACAAATGTCAGAAAAGCATAAATGTTTGGCTTTAAAAGACTCTCTGACACCTTTCAATAAACAAATTAAGATGGACTATTTTCTTTAAATTTTGAAATCAAAGTATCTATAAGCAAAAGCCCTTTTTTGGGGTTTATTTATCATTTTTTTGAGAGCTAAATAAAAACTCTTAGGTGATACAAAAAAAAAAGAAAAGTAAGAATATTCTTGAAAGACAGGATGATAATGAAAATGACGTCATGACAGTGACAATACTGATGACGACGACGATGATGACAGCAGAAGCAGTAACAACAGACAATTATTGGGTGTTTTTATGTGGTCTGTGCTATCTTAAGTAGCTTACATTTAATATCTCAATTTAAGCTGTTTATTTCTTAATTCTGAAATTTGATCATCACCTTGGTCATCATTTTGATTAGCAGTCTTCTTCCCGTCGTCTTCTTAACAATTGGTAAAGTAATTAACTGGGATTTTTTGCCCAGCTGTGGCAGTACGCACTGCTAGGACGCAATGCTCTGTGGCTAGGACTGCAGGGAAGGCCTGGGTTCTATTCCTGGTCCAGCCTGACCTGGTGTGGTGGCACTTGCCTTTGATCCCAGTAACTCAGGAGGCTGAGACAAGAGGATTATGGGTAACGTAGACACTATCTGGGGGGAAAAATTAAAAAAGCAAGAGCATTATGGTGTATGTCTGTGGTTCCAGCTACTTAGGCTGAGGTAGGGGATTGCAATACAATGAGACTCTGGGTTTTATTTTTTTAAGATTTAAAAAAAAAATGTTTATGTTCCATTAAAAGAGAGGTTTAAGACTAGAGGAGCACTACCATACTTGGTTATATAGTAACTTATGAAGTATTTTTTTTTTTAATTTGGAGATGTACATGGAATCAATTTCTCTGAGCTTCTCATTTCCGTAACAGCTGTTTTCTTCTGTTTAATCTTCTTGGTCTATGTCCTGACTCATTCAGTGATGTTCTTGGTGTGTCTAATGGTGTAGGTCTTTCTTTTCACCTGCTCTATTCCCGATAATCTTATTAGATATGTCAGTAAGAGCCCCAGCCATACTCAGTACTTTGCTTTGGTCACGTAGACAGCTACCTAAGGAGCCACTTTTTTGGAATTCTGTTTCTATGAATCACTTAGTTTCTGGTAAAATAGACATCCCAGTAAAAAGGGGCTCACTGCTGACCTTGCAGGCTCTCTTTTTAAAAAAAAAATTAATTTTTTTCCTATGGAGCATGTGCACTAGCCAGAGACAGAGACAGAGAGAAAGTAAGTGCGAAATAACTCCTCAGGGAGTGTGGTCACACCACAGTCCCTTCTCCTCCAGTCTCTTGTCTGGATTTTGGACACATGTATATATGCCCAGTGTAATTTTCAAGCTGACAAATTCAGTACTCAAAATACACTGACAGGCATATAGGATCCAGTGCTTTAACCTTCACACCGTCTACTGGCCCCCTTGCAGGTTTATTTTAACGGGCATTCCATCTATTCCAGTTTCTTGAAGATTATATGACATGACAGTTATTTCATTGCCATCGTTTTCATCTTAAATCTATTATATGCCTTTAAAAAAACGGAATATTTGAGTGTTAAAAGAAGTTTCACTGTCAATGTTCAATTTGCTGGCCCATATTATTATTATTTTTAATGTTTATCTCTTCCATGAGAAACAGAGAGAGGAAGACAGAGAAACAACCACTCTCAAAGGGGCCTCATGGGTCAGCCCTTTAGCCCATTGTAAGGGAGCCTGATTCCACATGACCCATCATGGTTAAGTATCCTGGCCCTTGTGGCTTGAAAAACGTAGCAGGTGCCCAGAATCCCAATAGGATGGAGAAATAGGGAAGAAAGGGTTGCTTCCCCATGCTCCACTGGGAAGGTGCTTTTTCCCTTTCTCCTTCTGTGTGTCTCCTATCTCTCTAAGGTGAGTGAATACAGTAAAAAAGAAGAAAAAAAGACCTTCATGCCTCAATGCATCCGCAGCCTTAGCCAGCCTAGACTACAGTGCATGTGCACCTAGTGTGTACAGGGAGGTCCCATGGTGCAAAACTGGAACCTTTTCAGGTGGATTCAGTTGCATTGCTGCTACTCTACTACATAGTTCCTTTTATTCTTAATATGTCTCAAGTATCAGGATAGTCTCTGAAGAAAGATGTTTATAAAACTTCCTCATAAGTGATTCTTTTTTTCTTTTTCTTTTTTTTTTTGGAGAGATTTTTGCTGTAGGGCACATGCACTTGCCAGACAGAGAGAGACAGAGAGACAGAAAGTGAGAAATCACCCCCCAGGGGGGATGGCCACGCCGCAATCCCTTCTCCTCCATTTTCCTCTTGGGATCCTGGGCATGCACAGACACGTGCCTGGTGTGAGTTTAAGTCACCAGGTCTGGGACTCTAACCGTGGTTCTACTACATGGGAGTCCAACAGCATAGCCATTACACCAACTGCTGGTCCCCCTCATAAATGATTCTATTGGTCATCGGACTGATAGTAGAGATTAGATATTCTCGTACACCTGGTAGAGAGAAAGGGAGAGGGAGAAAGCACACCTCACAGGCAGCGATCATGCCACAATCCCTTTTCCTTCAATTCTCCATCCATTTGGAATTTGGGGCATGCCTGCATATGTGCCTACTGTGTTTCTCAAGCTTCCAGGTCTGGGACTTGAACAATGGGGTTGGCCATATTGGATCTGGCCACAGAGATAGCCCTACTTAGTTTTGTTTATAATATGAGAGGATTTCAGAAATCTGGAAAAATAAAATTAAAGTTCAAGTTTATTTTGGTGCAAAATTTTTTTGAATGTGTATTATGAAGAAACTATATAAAAGGATTAAAAACATGTTTTGCACCAAAATAAACATATATTTTAATTCTATGGTTCTACACATTTTTTTAAGTTCCCTTATATTTTGGTGTTTTTCAATAGTATGATTAATATTATAACTTTTCCAGGTAAAAATGGCTTTTTCCAACCACTAATGCTGGAAAATGAGAAGTTTGGGGCTTGGATAGACTTCAGTTAGAAAATGTTCATTATGATGTACAGAAGTGTTTTCTAGTTTGACATGATACTAAGATCGAATTTTTAATATATTCTCTTTCTCAGTAATATTAGACATGTGAGATTATCAGAGGGAGTTCTAAATGGAAATAATGCACGCCTGGCTAGGGTTTGTTTGTTTGTTTTTCTAGAGAATGATTATATGGAGTAGAGAGAAATAAGTAATATTCAGTGTGTACCTGAATTGGGTATGAGTACCTCCAGCCTGCCTCTTATTTTAAAGGGAATCTGCATCCCTCTGTTCGCTACAGCCTAGAGAGTCTCGGGTTGCAAATAGCCTGAGTGAGTGGGAGAAACTGAACCGAAAGGCAGGGAGTCTGTTTTGCAGCTTACATGAATAAAGGAAATATGTGTCTACTGAGAGTTATCCCTGTGTCCAAAGATAAATAAAATTGGTTTTGTATTGTTAGTTTTCCGGCTTCTCTGTGCTCTAGGGAATTTCTGTGAGAAAACAGAGAGATGAGTATTTTCAGAATAAATTATAACTCTAAAATTTCCTTTATTGCCCTAGAATTTTATTATGAAAAAATTCCGAGTATACTGAAAAATTAAAATAATTATGTAATGAATACTTTTTTTCACCATTCTAAACTTCTTAGCATGGTGGGATAGCTGCTTTATTGTGTGTAGTCGCCTACTCATCCATCTATTAAGATATGCATATGTATCTATAGATATATGGATTTAATGTTTATTTATCTATTTCTTCCATTAGTGAGAGGGACAGAAAGAGGGAGACAGTACCCACAATAAGGTCTTGATGCTACAACCCATCTCCAGCTTCAGCTGGCCCTAGATCATGGGCGCCACTGGTGGCAGACTCAGGGAGGTCTCTAGAGACAAACCTGGAACCTTCCCTTTTGGTCAGCCTTGCAGGGCATTGCATTTAACTCAAGGTATATTTTTACTAAGGAGTTTCTACCTTTATCTTTAGAAAAACCATTAAAGCCTAAAATATATTTGTGTGTATATGTGTATATATGTATATATACACACACATATATACACACACATATAGCCTCTCCTGTATATATATATATATATATATATGTATACACACACACACATACATATACACGTATGCACACATACATATGTACACATTTGCGCTTCTTTGCTCCCTCTTCAAGCCCTATAGGCCATAATGACAGATTCTGTTTTGTAGAATTCAAGAAGAAGAATGGGATAAATACATCATACCTGTCAAATCAGAGTCTGAAAAATATAAAGTGAGCCGAACTTTCAGCTTCCTCATGAACAGGATGACCAGCCCTCGGAATAAATCCAAGGTAATTTGTTTCTGCACGAATCTATTTTCCGTAACATCTAGGTGACTTTGTTTCTCAGTATTAGCTTCCACTTTCCCTTTAAAACTTCTACTTTAGACTTTATACACACTGTTTCTTATGGACTCTTGTCCAAGTTATTAGAAACAGTAAGACAGCTGCGTGCTCAGGAATTTTAAATTTGGTCGTCCTTGTGCTCCCCCGTGTGCAATACTCATAGTCTGATGGACACTGTGGGGTTTGTTCGTATAACTTCTGAAAGAAAGTTGGCTCACAGTGTTTCCTTTTTCATTTTCCCCCAACTTCCCTGCTGTTTCTGAAGATGAAAAGCAAGGATGCCAAAGACAAAGAGAAACTGAGTCGACATCAGTTTGTCCCAGGAACATTCTCTGGGGTTCTACAGTGTTCGGGTTGTGATAAAACACTCCTGGGGAAAGAG